TCTGAAACAGTCACATATTTACAGGCTGCAGGTACCTAAGGCCTGTGCTAATGATCAGGTTCATCTGCCCACTGCAAAGAGGCTCCTGAAAACCTGAAAATCACTTGCCAAGACATCTGACAAAGACTATGGAAAATTCAGTGCAACCCCTGACGCTGCTGCTCTCCCTTAAACCCTTTTTGGTTTATTCCTTTACCCCAGGGCAGCATCTCTGCTGCTTCATTGGTAGCTGCTCATTTCTGCCTTCTAGATATAGCAAATAGCAAGAGCGCCTGTTTATGGATGTGCCCATCCTRGAGTGAAGACATTGTCCAATAGTCACCTCAAACTTGCCGTTAGCTTGATCCATACTACGGCAAAAAGCAAACAAAAGCATTTATACCAATCATCCAAAGCAGTGCCAATGTGTTTTAAAAAATAAAAATTAAAAAAAAAATCATGCTTATCTACACTATGATTAAATACTCAGTTTTCCCTTTGAAAAGGGGGCTCCCTACATAAATACCTATGAAGGCCACCTTTCTAATGCCTAACTAGCTGCATGATTTATACCCAAGTTTTTAATCATTGAAACGAACCCTTTCAGAATGCAACATAACTACAGACTCWAACAATCTCTGAGACCCTACCCAATTGTCTGCTTATACTAATCTACTATCTACTAATATTTTAGCCACGATTAAGATTTTTCCTTTCCCTGCAGATTTAACAATCATGTTATTAGCCCAGGTGTCATTTCTTCTATTTGACTAGTTAAGCATGTCCTCCTTGTATCACCAGAAAGCCTCAGAGAAGTCTGTCACAACTAGAAAGAACAGAAAATAAAACAGAGRGAACTACAGTGACCTTTTCAAGCACCTGCCAGCAGAGAAGAGCTTTATTTGTGAATGATCAACTCTCCACAAGCCCTGCAGTGACGGGATCATTTGGGCAAACATTCCCATTTTACATATCATTCTTCTTTTCTTCTTCCCTATGATATTGCCTTTAACTGTCTTATGAATCAAACTTTCCCTCAACGTTTTTTTTTTTCTTTTTCTTTTTAAAAAATCAAATCGCTTCAGTTGGGCTTTTTTGAATGACAATGCAGCGTTTTCTGAGCAGCCACGAGGTTGCTGGCAGGCAAGGAAATCTTGTCTGCTTGATCATTCGCCTCTTTCATCAAGCTCCCCATCCTGCAGTTCAATACCTGGATGTTGGATTTCCTTGGCTTGTTCCCTCTCGGAACAACATTAAGATTGTGATCACTACACAAAGAGCAGCTGTCACTTGATAYGAAGCGTTCTTGTTTCCCCATCTTATGTTTTAGGCTTCAGACAATACAAAAAGCACATGTAAGCTGTGCTCCAGCTCTGCTGCTCAGTATTTCACACGTCAGTCAACTATAAATCATCTACTTGGTTTCATGTTTTCAAAGAATAAGAGCATGTAAGCTATTTCTTTGATACCAGTGGTGCCAAGAAAAACTTTGCTTCACATTTATACACTGATCTGCAACCATGAATGTAATCCTGGTTAATCTTAAAACACTTCCTATCTCGTCACCTCTTTCTCCTTCAAGCCTCAACATATCTTGGTACCACATTTGTCCTTCCGCCCACAAACCGAACTGTTGTCCACATACTAAGAACACCAGTGCAGACCATCCACATTCACTTTATTTTGGAAGTTTCTCAATTAGCAACATTTTTTTTCCTACCTAATTATAAAAACAATCTGGGCAGGACCATACATGTACAGTGGTGTCCACAGGACAGTGATTTTTTTTTCCTTACTTATATTCTTTCAACTGCTGACACAAACTAGTAATTCCAGTGTTTTATTTCAGTGCCAGGGCATCTCACAATAAATTAAAATATTGGGGGGGGTCGGGAGGGGGAAGAGAGGAGAAAGCATACATGCACTTTTCAGTCATAATCCAATCTTTGAAATAATTGCATTGAAAATATTCTAAATTGATCGATACTTCCAGACTTTGAACTAATATTCTCCTCCCACAACCCATACATAGCAGAGAATCTTTCAAGTTCTTTATGACAAATGAGTAGGTTTTCCATTTAGCCCTTGCAACTCTATTTGAAAACACGTATTTCTTTAAGAATACAAACGTATATTGAATTATAAAGAGCACTTTCCAACAAATTACACCCTTTTCCAATAATTTGCTACAAGACTATGGTCAGTCACTGATGTTCAGGCATTAATTCAACTTAAAAATGTTATTACATTTGCAGAATGGTTCAATTTCTGGAAAGTGACTAATATGCCTTTATAACAAATAGGAAATTAAGTGAAATTATCTCATTCCACCCATAGCTCCTTAAGAGGACTCACAACCATTAATCAAGTGTTTTTTTTGTTTGCTTTAGATTAAAAGAAGAGAACAACTTAAAAACTTGAAGAGAAGTGGTTAATTCACCTCTATTCCTCTCCTCCCTCAGGGAGAGGTTACATGGTTTTAGGCTCCCCAGTCCAAGACAAGTTAAGAAGATTAGAGGACAGAAAATTACAGTGTGCAAGAGCGTAGAGGCTCTGCTTTAACAGAGGGTCCAACCAGGTGACCTCTACAGATCCCTTCCAGCCTAAGTAATTCTACAAATATATGGCCATCTCTTCGACCTTCATGACGCTGTCAGGAGTTAATTTTGATCGTGAACAATCTTTATTTTAAGCTACTGGTTGGTACTTTTCCTACAGTCTTAAACCAGAATCATTTTACTTCTTCGCACTTGTAGTAATACTGCTCTCACATCTCTATTACCATCTTTATTTTCTATTCATCACCGAAAACCTCTATACTAAAATCTGCTAAAGCTTAGAATGTATTCTATTCTATACTATTCTCTAGTAGAAATTCCTCAGTGAATTATACATGTATACATAAGACTTCCTCTTCTGGATCAAAGCTTTTGTAACATCAGCTGTTAATGCACAGCAACTGAACCTGCAAGTACTTCAATCTAGTTTTACTTATCAGAATAAAAATCACTTGAACCATCACTGAAAATTCTGGTTCCTGCTTTCTCAGTTAGATACCCCCTTTCTATATAACAACAACAACAAAGACAAACAAAAAAAGAATACGTAAGCAGACCCTTCAGCACAGTTGAAGCCAGCTCATGCTCTCAATTCCGTCATTCGGCTATAGAATCATTTTAAAATCCTCTTGATTTCCTGGTGTCAGAGACAAAACTTTAGAGCTTTTTAGAAGAGACAAGGACCGTTCCCAAATTCAGTGCAGTGAATAGCTCAATGATTCTCAGTCGGAAAGGATGATGCTGAATCTCCTCAAGACTGAGAAGGGTAGAAAATAGAGGTATCCAATTTCTTTGACAAGTGGTGTTCTCACTAATAATTTATATGTAAGCTACAAAGAAGCATCTCCTCTCCCCAAGGTCCTGAGAACAGAAACAGTTTCTGCGGCCTAATTTGTACTTAAATTTGCCCTGCTACCAAGACAGACACCAACAAATCCAGCAGTGTCTATCTATGTGTTTAAGCTATTTTGTGTGAACCACTCACTTGAACAAAGGTTAAATTCAGCTTCATGTTGCTATTTAGACATCTACTTACTTGTCTAAATACATATTTGCTGCCTCCATCTCCTTCAGAAAATGAAACACATTCTTGTATCACCCAGGTGACAATCATTCCAAAAATTAAAAGCTATAAGTCCCATATGCTTAAAAAAATATGTTAGGTTTGCTTTGTTAAGTTTTATCAAATCTRTGTATCAGAACCAACTAGTCCATTMAGTCACACTTCGAGGGGATATTAATCTCATTAACTGTAATGTTCCTGCTGCCTGTGGAGATTCACAGTCTTCTGAGATATTGACATGTCTGGCATCAATACCCCAAGTTTTGTTGTTTAATTACAGACAGGAAACAGCCTTTCCTCTAGTGACCTCCTAAACTCTCCACCTTATTAAATCAGGGAAATTTATTAAGAATTCTCGTAATGCTATAAAGAGAACAATCTCTTTACACAACAAKTCTCTCTCAGACTTTTTCTAGTAGATTCAAGCAAAAATGTTTATGATCTATGAGATTTAACATTAATAAATTGTAATTCCCTACCCAGTAAAATCACAGCTGAAGTATTTGAAACATTAAAAAGCTACTTTGCCTTAAAAAGGCTGCAGAGTTCTTGTTACTCAAAWAAATTCCCAAGACAGCAAAGTGTAAGGAGGAAAAAAAAAAAAGAAAAAGAGGGGGTGGTTGAGCACCCTTTGCACTACACTACATATTTCATTCTAAATTATTTTAAAACAGACATATATAATAATTTGTTTTCCATCTGGAAAATTGAAAATCTGAAAATGAATTAATCATTGCACCCTTTTGGCTGTTCTGAAGCAGCAAGTCTCTGATAGCAATCAAAGGGAAAAAAAAGTGACAAGAAATAACAGTGGAAATTTGTATATTTTATATATGGGCTAGAAGCAGCCTAAATTACTAACAAGACTACTTTCTTCTAAAAAAGGACAAAGAAGTTTAAAGCCAGGAGCACTTTAAAGAGTTTGCTCTTCCACAAGGTTGTAAAAGCTGATCCAAGAAGAAACTAAGCAAAACATCATGGGAGAGCTATGGTTGCTACATGCTTAAAAGAAATAAAAATTTCTAATTGAAAAGGAATTGGAGCAAATCAATTGGCTCATGCATTCTAAAGATAAACATACCACTGTCTGGATTCTAGACTGGTCATAGTACACTGTCAATATTTGATAAATGATTTTTCAAAATTGATCAAATGTAAAGTACAACATATCAAGGGGCCATTTTTTTTGACTTTTTTGTAAAGCTTTCCTTTTAAGTCATAAAATTTTTATTGTTTTGTGAGTAGAAGTTCAATGTTATTTCTTTAAGCAGGTTGGGATTTTCATTTTTTCCCCTCACATATTCCTTAAAAAAAAAAGAACAGTAATGCTATATACAGAATTATTTCATGTAGTATTTAAAAYCATTAAAAGAAGAAAATTAAAGCAATCATTTACTTACCCTTCTTTTGACAACAAAAYGTAAGTTCCAATTTGCAAAGCATGTCAGCATTCTCATATTTGTCCTCTTCTGCCTTAACCCAAAAACAGGATTCTGTCATTTCCTGAGGTCTGATCTATAAAAAAAGAAAGAGAACAAAACATTTATTAATCACATTCTTTTAAGGCAACATATTAACACAGAGTCTTGATTGTTTTTACACTGAAAAACATTTAATTTATAAAATACATCTATAGAACAAGGGTAACTGTAGAACGCAGACTGTTCAGAGGTCTGTAAAACACATCAAGTATTGGTACAGGTAAACAACTCATCTTTAGAATTTGATAAAGTGCTTCTGATTCAAGATAATAAAGCTTATAGGAAGTAYTTTTAGACAAAACGATTCTGTCGACCAGCACTGACAGAATAATCTCTTACCCAAGGTCTAAGCACAACAAACTCTTTTTGGTTTAGATTTTAAACTTAAGTTTTAAGTCATCTCTGAACACATCAATCAACACACATTTTTTAACTGAGGCTTTGATTGTTTTATAAAAAACTTAAGTTCTTTAAATTGMCTTATTTGGAGCCAAGTAGCTATAGTTTCCAAAACTCAACTGATTATTCCAGAGTAGAAAAGACATTATATTTTTAAGTATTAGAACTTTATACGAGTACATCCACACCAAGGACAAATGCAGAAACTTGCAGCRTTTCTTCCCACAGCCCAGACTTGATAGTTGTACAGACGCAAAACACTTGTCTTGGAGTATCAGTCCAGTACAGTGAATCATCCAGCATAAGCAGCTTCCTACAAGATCAGTTGAAGCAGCACCCAAGATGCAAGATGGCATCAAGACTGTATTATTTCTCAAGCAGACCTGGCTTATCCATATGACCTCCCCGGATGATTAATCAGAGCAGTGTAGTTTTCAAAAAGCAATAAAACTAATGTAAAGGCATAAAGTCTTCACATGAGTTCCTACATAATACTGATTTATCAGTTACTCAAGATATGATTGTCAGAAATAAGACAAAGTTCTATGTTATATTCTACACGAGAATTTTACCATTAATCAGCCTTACCTTAGACCAGTTGAATCTCTTCATGGTAATTTCAGGCCTGAATTCTTTCTTAGGCCTCAGCCCGAAGGGCAAAGCGTGGGGAGGCGGCGATGGCTGCGGCCCAGGCAGGCCTGGGGGAGGCGGTGGCGGAGGGATTCCCAGGCCCTTCATGGATGGGGGAAGGGGCGGCGGCGGTGGTGGCGGTGGGATTGCTCCATTAGAAGGCAGCGGTGGAGGAGGGGGAGGCAACTGATGTGGTCCTGCAGCTTCCAGGGCCGCCACCGACGCGTCTCCACGTGGGGATGGCAGAAATCCGGGCGGCAAGGAGCCATACTGGCAAGGAAAAACATCCAGGACTTTTAATAAAAAACACATCATAAAAGCTAGAGTTTGAGAGTTAAATCCAGAAGCCACTGGCTTTAGGATTTTACAGTATGGAGACTTTCAATTACAAGTGGATATTCAGAACACAAAGCGCATGGAATAATGAAAAACTGCAGTGTAGCCCACTTGGATGGTGAAAGCTGATCTAGTATCAGAGTCCAGTACATATTAAAACATAACTTCAGTCTTCAATATTCTTATTTGTTCTAGACAACTGAGAATTTTCACTGGGATTTAATAACTTAAAATAGATAACAGAATACAACTACACTAGCAATACTTTTTGGAGCCACCACAAACAAACAGAGCTGAAGACTGGATATTTTGCTACAGAGGAGCGTTCTCATTCCGGAGAACTAAAGCAGCAAGGGAATTATGAAAAAAATCCCCTCCTCCTATGYATTTTTTTTAAAAAAGGAAAGGACTTATTACATGCAGTGCTGCCTTAAATCTGTAGACACATAAAACTAATGGCCACTATATTTTTAAAAACAGGAAATGTTACCCTTTACTATAAAGTCAATAGGAAATGCAGCAACTGCACAATATTGTATAGTACTTAATCAAGCAGATTTGACAACTGTATTAATAACTGTTAGGATGGTGCACTGATTTATTAGTCTAGATGGTGAAGATCTATACTGTATAGGATAAGTCTTTTTAATATGCACTTCTATAAGCCTAAAAACAAACATTTGATTGCTATTTGAACAACTTCTATAATGGATTCCAAATATTATTGAGAAACATTTATCTACTACTGATAACATCAACTTATTCAACTGATAGTTATGAACTGGAATAGTCCATTTCATTTTTGAACTATGGAAGGGAACACAGTTAACCAAAGGATAAAGGCTGTAAAAAGCAAATAACTCTCTGTCAAGGAATTTACCAAATAAAGTAACCAAAGTATTACTGTTTTTTCAACTGCTGAACATGCGTTCTTTACACTGAGAAGCAGACACAAATAAGTTCTAACAAATGAAGGAAAATTAATATAAATGAACACCAAATAATACATATATGGTCATAACATGCAGAAACAGTAATGATAAATTCAAACTGGTGCCAAATGGAAAACCAAACATTCCTCTTTGGATAGATAGGACTAATAAATTGAATTAATTAATTATTTCACATTTACAGTATATTTCAAGAAACACAAATTATAGGAAATTCTTGGTATAATAATCTGTGAGCATAATAATAAATTGTGCACACTCACTGTCTATATCTATAAAAAACTAGAGTGAACTTTGGTGAACAATGGAGCAGGAAAAAAAAAAGAGAGAAAAGGCTATCTTTTTTGCTTACAAAATGATGAGTATTTAATTTTTTTTTCCAGGAAATGCATAGAGAATTATTTTCTTAATCCATGACATAAAGCTGTCAATAAAAGAAATATAAAATCTCAGAGAAGCAAYAAGTTTTGCAATTTTCCCTTTTTAAAGATAGATTCTGACATAAACAGTGAATTCTGACCAGAAATCTGAATGAGAATGATATTTTTAAATACTACCTCAACAAAGACGAACTAGTGATACTTATTAAAAAAATACACAATCTCTAAAAAAACTACCATCAAAACATATTTCATCATCTCTCTGTACACGTCTCCCATTGCTGCCTTTCTTTTGTCACTTTTAGCTTGCAGCTGTTTTACCTACTCCAAAGCACAAGAAAATTCACTTGGTCAGTCTCCTTACAAAGGAGCTGAAGCAGTTAAGTGAAATATCACTCAAATCCACATTTCTTCTATCATATTTTAAAGTATCTATTAGAGTTTGAAAAGTGAAAAAAAAAATCACAAAGTATTCTTATGTTATTTCTTTCTGATTATTTCTTTCACTGCTGTGTATCGATGGTAAGGCTTCAGCAAAGTAAACTATATAATGAATATTTTCCTGTGAAGGGATAAAGATCACAGTGATGAATGCTAATCTAGGAGCATAAGACTTATTACCCTATGTGGTTAATTACTTTTGAAATATATGACACTGAAAGCAAAACCCAAATGAAACATAAGAAACTGGTTTAATTAACAGAACCGAGGCACAAGAAGGATCAACTGGGAACTCACAGAGCTAATTAATGTCACACTACAATTCCTTGCATAAAACACAGAAAAAAAAGGAAACTAACAGTCAGTAATAACAGATAAGAGGATTCTTAAAAAACACTCAAATGTACTATTAGAGTATGCAAAAAGAGCCAAGAGAAATTTATTTCAACAACAATACTTAATATATTCTTTAACCTATCTTATACCTGTGATTTAAAAGCCTGTAATTCTGCTTCAAGCTCACTGATCCGTTCTTCTTTTTTTTGCAGTAGGGCCTGGGTCTCCTGATGAACTATAAAATCTTTTTCAAACTAATAAGGAGAGGAAAAAAGAGTGTTGTAAAGTTCCTGTAGTTTCTCTAGATTTCATCTTCTTTCAAAATTCATTCTATTCGGACTATTAAACTCCCATGTTACAAAACTAAGGATACATATACCACATTTGCTACTCGAACTTCCCCACAGAGCGTGAAGGAAGCTGCAACTCCATCAGTTCCACAAGTCTTTACAAATTGCTATGAAATAATTAATATAGTTTCACTTGGAATTGTATAGAGAACTCTAGCTTAAAAAAAAAACTTCTGTAATACAGAGTCTGTAAATACAAACAAGTCAATATTTATTCTCTCACCRTTAATCTTGTTGAAAAATATCATAAAAAACTATTCAGTGCAAGCACTCAATTGATTTTTGACAGATTTGTACATGAAACTTCAAAATAAATAGCAAGAGGACCTATTTCTGGTAACTACTTCACATCCACCCCAGTCTGCACAAGAAACATCCAACTTTCCATTAATACATAAGTGATTATAGGCTTTTGAAGTTAAAAGCTCTTTTCAGTTAGCTTACTCATGAAGCTATCCTTAATCCTCTGTGTCCATCTTCTGATCACATAGCTTCAGAATTACTTACTTTTTTGGAAAGTTCTGAAGCCTTCTCTTCACATTCTTCTAATCTTGCTTTATCTACACAAATATCTTCAAAAATAAACAAATAAAGATATACTTACACATATAGAGAAACACAATATTCTTAATCACATACACAACTTGAACTTGTTTTTGSATGCATACAAGAAAAATATGATACCATAATCATTTCCAAGCAGTCCTTACCTATTAAGTGACTGAAATTTATATCTAATCTTTTACGATATGTGAAATCTGGGTCTGTTCCACTTCGATGTAAAACTATCTGGGACACACACTCTTCAATTAACTTGAAATACTGTGGACTGAAGAGAGAGAGAGGTAAGATCATTTATTTATTAGCATATACTTAAAACTCAATCTATGCATACTGTAAAACCAAAACATTTGGACTTTTTTCCACAGAACAATAGATGGAAACGCCAAATGAATCATTTGATTTCTTAGTAAAGGACCAATACACCTGACAGTGAACCTGTGGATAAGGCATTCTCCTATAACAAACTCTGCACTTATCCTTCTAAGGAACTATAGAAAGAAAAGGAAGCAAATCTCTTCGTCTCTCCCTTTGGGTTGTTCTGCTTCTGTGACTGCTTGAACGAGAACTGCTTTGCAGCCTTGCCTCATTGAGAAAATGCATAGATCACTTATTCAGAAATGATTTTTTTTTTCTTTTTTACACGAAATGGTATATATGATTTTCAGTCTGCACACAAAAATATWAAATTGTATTAGCTGTCTTTTTTTTAGAATAATTATTCTATTAATGATTACAAAATAACCAAATTCACAATTAACATTTACCATTAAACATACCGTACAAAATAATCATTTCTTATCAGCAAAAGATGTTGGAGAATAGAAAGAAAATATCCTTCCGCACTAGTGTCCTTAACTGTATTCCACACCATGTTGTAAACATCATTTACTTCAGTAAAAGAGTTAAGGAAAATTATAGTAAGATCTTACTTTTTTTTTCAGTTAAATGTTGACCAGTAACTATTTTAAACAAAAACTGTATCACAAAAATAACCATTATTTACGTTATTTGTACAAATTTCTCTTCTCAGAGACAGAAAGGATATTCTAGTTCAGATCTAATATCTTCTAGACGATGAGAGAACTCAATCATGTCTTCTTCCTTATGTTCATTGAATACTTTCAGCTGAATATCCAAGGCTTCATTCTTTATGCATTTCAATTGCTGCAAAGAAGAAACAGTGAAAAGGATGGAAAAACTTCCCATATAGAAATAAATCCTAGCTTTACAATAGCTTCCATAAGTCTGTTATTTTGAAGTTTAAAGTTACAAGAACTCTCAGGTTATATTAAATATTAAAAAGCCAAACATGGCTTCAATATGGCTTAGCCACTATCTGCACAACACTCTGCTGCATGTTCTTATTCATTCAAGGCCTAAAAGGTTGAGGAATCAACATAAGCTCGAGAGAAATCACTTTATCTTTTCATTCTTGTGTTAAGGTTGAATCTCATATCTAACTGCTAACGCTCAGACTTAATAAAATGCCACTGAGAATAATTTATTAGAACTTGTTCTCCCATTCCCCCTCGCCAGCTCAAACAGTCGAATAATTTATACAGAAATGCAAACAGAGACTAGGAGACGCTTACTGGCAAGATCTCTTTCAATCCACTGCGCATGAATTCGTTCCTGATGTGAAGCCTAAAATCCAAATCATCTGGAGATGTTACAAGAGCATTGATGAGCTGCATACAAGCTACCTACAACAGAGGACAAAAATGAACTATATTTCTTAGCTTTTCTTGTTTTCAGTACAGAGTTTGAACTACTTGAAGAGCATTCCACATGAAGTCTTATCTAATTATCACACCATTGAGATCTCATAATTAAAGTACTTAAACTTATCAGCCACATAAGCTGTGGATATTATACATTCACCAGAAATTTCTTTAGAAATGATTATTTCCTCTCACCCCACTGAATTTTCCCATTTAATGAAAATGCCAAGTTCATTCAGGACATAGTGAGCATAATTGAAAAGCATAATTGAATGTAATTTAGATATAGTTTTTAAAAATAATTTTAACTATACATTCATTTATATATGCAGATAAAAAGTTAGTGACATAAAAAATGGTAAAGGCTAAAGTCTGTGTGCATAGGGAAAAATATTAGATGACAAAACTAAAAACTGAAGGTAATATGAACTGAAACTAAAGAACACTTTTTTTAAAAAATCTTCCTCATTAAGAACTGCAGAATCTCARCATACTGACTTTCACAGAATACTTGATGGAAACCAGTAGCTCGTGTTTAAAGGCTCAGAAATCAGGTCCATTACAATGCAGAAATCCTCAAACTGCACATATCTGGGGTATGAAGTACTTAGGTACAAAATCCATTTTATTTCCACATTGTCTTTTGCTCTTAAACCACAACATGGGGCACTATTAGGCAAATTTTATCTGATACAAATTCACCAAAAAAAAAAAAAATCAAACATAAAACTAAAGTAAGGCACATAAAAAAAAAAAAAGGGAAAATTTACAAAAAAACTTTTAGAATTAATACATCTCYTTCCACCCTTGCTCACCTCCAAAATGAAAGAAAATAAATAAAACTAAGYAGAGTAACAGGAACTGTCAGGCCAGTAAAATATCCTGCTGTGAATCAGAACACTCAGAAAGAAACAAAAGGCACAGCAACACTTAAGCTCTTAAAAAGGAGATCTTAAGTTCTACTTGTCTGTGAAAGGAATTCCCATGGTAGAACACTTGGAGATGGGCAGGATATATCACAAATTGAAAGGCTGGCAGAAAAAAAGAAAAACTTAGGAAACAAAATAATGCAATGTCATATCAGAAAGCTTTGAAGGAACTCCAGGATAAAGGAATTTTACTACGCATTGCAACTATAATTTGACAAAATACTACTATTATTTATGAAAAGTTTTCATCTGGAAAACTACAAGTATGGTCCCTTGAAAAAGTTCTTATCATATTTAAAACTTCCTTTAAAATCCCTTTTCTCTGTACAACCTGCTACAGTGGATTCCTCACCTTTGTGGAGCTCATTAGAGCTATGACTTCTCCTCCCCACTAGATCTGTCCTATTTCCTTAGCTATAAGGCAGTTTTGTTTAGTCTTTTAGAAACTCTCAAGTTTACTACTACATATTTTCATTTATTCAAATAAAAAAAAAACCCTTTGTGAACCTTGTGTTTTTACAATATGCCATTTACTTCAATAGCTGTTTGCTACTGTTGTGTCAACATTATATCAACAAGAAGCCATGCTAACCTCAAAGCATGAGCAGTGGAAATATCAAAGGATAAATAAAAACAGTCTTTAGACTTACCTATATCCAAAGCTTCATACAATGATAGAAACACTAAAGTTAATAAAAGCCAGACTGAGTGAAATCTTCCAGTAATTGTCTTAACAGCAGCCAATAGAGAATTAAGAGTCTCCTGCTGTAAAAATCAGGCATTTCTGTACATTGCACTCTCTTCAAATTCAATTTTTGTCTACCACGACACTTTAAAGTCGTGCTCTGAACGTGGCTGCAGCCTGGTAACCCAGTAAATATGTGTTATTACGGTGGTATTTTCACCATCAACAGACGAGAGGCTTTGGCATGGGCCTAGGGACAGGGGCCTGCAGACCTGCCAGGCTTTGCTGCCAGGGCCTCTGCTTTGGCTCATTTGCCTGCAACAGCAGTTGTCTAATGACTGAATGACTGCAGCCCCACATGCTTGAGCCTTTGCTTAGCTCGTGGAAGCCTGCCTCATATACATTTCTGTAACTAATAGCAAACCAGTAATAGTTTGCCAAACAAAAACGCAGCACGGAGAAGCACAGGCAGGGGAGATGTGTAAATAACCATTTTAGGCTCTTAACAGTTTAGTGCAGGTTAACACCACATTCTTGGCTTTGAATTTATCTTCCTTAGGCCCATAAGATGCATAAATTTGCAGTGCAATGACTTGGTAGARCAACTGGTCAACCTAGTCTGTAACTTGAATCCAACAAGGGGTGTAGTGTGCAGGCAATGTGAACAGTTAAAATTCAGTGCCAATTCTCCTGTACTCTAAGTTGGGCTGAAATCTTTATTCTTAAACCTTTYCATACTTGTGTTCAGCACAGGTCTGCTTTACCAATCACTTGATCAGTATTTGCATTTTTCTTTATCAGGAATGCCAAAGATTTTACTGTACTGTTTCCAGTTTTTACCTTGCTTATTTAGCTGAGACTTGTTATACCATCACTTTTTCTTTTCTTTTTTTTTTTTGTGCTTTCTGTCTCGAATATTGGCTTTGACGRGACTTTATTTTCTTGACTCAGTTTGCTCTACTGTTCCAATGCTGTAGCTCAGTACACAAACTCCATCCCTGCACTCCTTTTGACATTATTGAGGTATTTCACTGATTAGAGACTTCACTGGCCAGCACTGTCACATACTCAACATTAATCGTGTATCAGGTGTACTGCAAGGGTACAGTTACATTTTGCAGGAGGTGAAATGCCACATTGCTCGATTACATCAGAACGGCAACTCTTATCTTTCGTGCAAGACAAAGCATTACTAGGAAAAAAAAAAGGACATACAATCACAGAACGACAGAATGGCTGAAATTGGAAGGGACCTCTAGAGATCATCTAGTCCAACCTCCCTGCTCCAGCAGGGACACCCAGAGCACGGGGTGGCATCCAGGTGGGTTTGGAAGATCTCCAGAGAAGGAGACTCCACAACCTCCCCGGGCAGTCTGTTCCAGGACTCTGTCACCCTCACAGGGAAGAAGTTCCTCCTCACATGGAGATGGAACTGCCTGTGTTTCAACTTACACCCATTGCCCCTTGTCCTGTCACTGGCCACCACTGAGAAGAGCTTGGCCCCTTCCTCCTTACATTCTTCCCTCAGGTACTTATACATATTTATCAGATCCCCTCTCAACCTCCTCTTCTCCAGAGTAAACAGACCCAACTCCTTTAGTCTTTCCTCATACAACAGATGCTCATCTAAGCAAGGAATCAGCATTTGGCACATGATTTGGTTTAGAAGATCAACAACATACAGTTAGATACTAAACAACATATGGTACATGTAAAATTACGATAAGAACAAACTACAGTTTTTTCTTTGATGGATCAATGCAACATAGATGCAAGGATGTGTACAGATGTATTTGCTGCTAAGATATTTGCTGTTTTCATTTGCCAAATCAATAAGGTCCATGTGCACATGTTATGCAAACAGGACAGCAACAGGATACCAACATGAGAAGTATGAGCTAAAGCACTTCACAAGGAGAGTTACTCTAGTATTTGATTCAGATTCACTCAAGTGGGAATTTGCAGGGCTGATTATAACAGAACATGTTTTGCTTTTTGTGAGACAGAAATAAAAATACCAACTTGACTGTGTTTGCACACTATTCCTAAAGGAATACAGAAATAAAACACTAGTGAAAATTCCAAAGAAAAATCTACAAAAAAAACAGAATCAAATAAGTTGAACAGGTAGAAGCAAACCAGTCTAAGCAGCGCACCTTCCTTAAATCTACCTTTGAGTAGTTTCATGAAATTTAAGAAAATAGGTATTTATATATAACAATTAGCATAGCATACACTATTTAATTCCAACATTACCATAATAATGTGAAATTTGTTCATTCACTCAGAAGTTTGATTGCCCCAAGAGAGGACTGTTTAATGAACTATAACTGCAAAGAAAAGAGTCTTAAATTCTATTAAAAAAAGAAACAAGTTTGTGAATATTAACATTTTAGTAACACCAGAAATTAGCTTTATCCCACCCAGCTTCCAAGAGCAGGTCCAGAAGATTGGTCATTTCCTAAATGACATGAGTCGTATGTGTCAGTTCCCTGAGCCACATGAGAACTTTGACACATTGGAACTAGACTGTTATTTCCATTAATCAGAAACAGGGCAGATTCAAACACAAAAGACAAAAAGTCACAAATCAACTCCCTTGTAAACACAGACAAATTTAGCTAGGGCATCAGACTTTGATCAGTCCTTGTTTTTTTGGGTTTTTTTTTTTTTTTTTGTGTGTGATTAAAAAGATGGAATTTGCTGCCGTTTCTTTAAAAAGGCTAAATTTTGATATAACTGAAACTGTCTGCTGATGTTCAGAATCCATGAACATTATCAAAAGATTCATCACTAAAATATCTCAGGACAAGTGACAGAGGTGTCCTATGGATCAGTTTCACAAGGCAGCTGCTTCACCCAAGAGTCAGGGGCTGAGAGGTGGTTCTGCACAACCCTGAAAGCTGCAAATATAGATGTCTATTGGTAGAAATCTGAATAGAGGGACCTGTGATGAATGAAAAAGGCTGTAACAAACCCATCTGACAACCAGTACCCATGCTACTGAAAGATAACGTCAGCTGAATTCTGTCCAAGCAGGCTCAAGAACCGTCTTGCCTTGAGGAGCTGAAAGAGGGGCCCTTTAGCAAACATTATTCATGTCTCCTCACCACCAGGCAGTTTTACAGGCATATCCTAAAACAAAGATCTTTATGTCAGAGACAGACACAGTCCAGGCTGGAAGTGCTTCAACAGAAGGGATACTGGAAACACACACTGCTCCTGCTACTGATTTCAGTACTACACAAGAATTCACACAAGCTGTGGATTTCAGAACAGGAAGAGATACCAGGGGATGCATAGCCAATAAAATTCATAACAACATGCTTTGTAAGTCCAAAGTAGAAGATAAACAAGGTTTTTGAACA